ATTTAATTTGCCCTTTTTAAATATTGAAAAAAATATATATCATTAAATAATTAATTAGTAGGAAAAAATGAAGAAAAATATGAAATAATAAGATTAATTAATAATAATAAAACAAAAGTTGAAAATAAAAGGATGAGTAAAATTAACAAAGAAAGAACAAAAAAAAAAGCAAGCAAAATTAAAAAAGAGCTTTATTGTTTTAAATTAGTTTTTATAATTAAACATATCACAATCCAAAACAAATAAACTATTTTTACGGAAGATCAAGTGTCAAATTTGAGAGATTAATGCATTTAGCTAAACCAGAACCTAAGCCTGATGCACCTTCGTCACCAATTTAATTGTCACTTTTTAAATATTGAAAAAAATATATATCATTAAATAGTTAATTAGAAAGAAAAAATGAAGAAAAAATATGAAATAATAAGATTAATTAATTAATAATAAAAGCAAAAGTTGAAAATAAAAGGATGATTTAAATTAACAAAGAAAGAACAAAAAAAAAAGTAAGCAAAATAAAAAAAGAGCTTTATTGTTTTAAATTAGTTTTCATAATTAAAAATATCACAATCAAAAACACATAAACTGTTTTTACTCTAGATCAAGTGTCAAATTTGAGAGATTAATGCATTTAGCTAAACCAGAACCTAATTAAAAAAAAAAAATCTCATCCCCCTCCACCAGTAAATTTCTAAAATTGATGCTCTAAGGTAGTTGCAGTTTTCGTGAGGTCTCGTAAGGTCTCGTAAGGTCTTGTAAGGTCTCGTAAGATCTTGTAAGATGCTGTGAGATAGGTGTAGATATAGCCTCCCCCCCTAATAATTTTATTAACTTGGATTAAACAGATAAATACATACTATTCAAATCCAAAAACTGTGAGAACATCTTACTAAAAATATAATAAAAATACATATATTAATAATTAAATTTATATCTTAAGTTGTATTCTGAGTGCATTTATATGTGCGAGTATTTCTATTCTATTCTATTCTGCACCAATTTAATTGAAACTTTTTAAATATTGAAAAAAATAAATATCATTAAATAGTTAATTAGAAGGAAAAAATGAAGAAAAAATATGAAATAATAAGATTAATTAATTAATAATAATAGCAAAAGTTGAAAATAAAATGATGAGTTAAATTAACAAATAAAGAACAAAAAAAAAGCAAGCAAAATTAAAAAAGAGCTTTATTGTTTTAAATTAGTTTTCATAATTAAAAATATCACAATCAAAAACACATAAACTGTTTT